TCTCATATTGCAGTGTGGGAATATAAAACAATACAACTACTTTGGAAAACAGGCAGTTTCATAAAAAGGTAAACATACACCGATCACATCCAGCCATTTTACTCCTAGGTATTACCCCAAGATAACTGAAAATATTATGTTCATATAAAGATATGTACATAAAGGATCGTAGCCATTTTATTTGCAATAGCCAAAATTAGGAATAATGCAAAAGTCCATTTGCAAATGAATGCGTAAGTAAAGAGTGCCTCTCTTCAGCCTGGAATGCACCGATTGTGGTATATTCACACAAGGAATACTAGACAAGAATAAAAAGGAAGACCTGTCAGGCATGCTACCACATGGGTAAGTCTCATAATAGTTATTCCGAGTGAAAGAAGCCAGCCAGACAAGAAGGTTATATACTGCGCGATTCTATTCATATAACATTCTAAAGATGTGCAGATGATACTGAAGAAGGAAAATCACTGGCTGCCTGAGTATGAGGGGGAGGACTAGAGAGGGGGCAGGCTGAAGGATTACAGAGGGGCACAAGGACACTTGAGGGCAGACGACTATGTTCACTATCTTGATTGTCGTAGTTTTGTTAGGTGTATACATATGTCAAGTTTACGAAAATATATACTGAAACTATGTGTAACTTATTATATGTCTTTATACTTCAATAAAGCTGTTTTTAGAAACTCTTGGACTGGGGTGCCTGAGTGGTTCCATTGTTAAGTGTCTGCCTTCAGCTCAGGTCATGATCTCAGGGTCTTGGGATCAAGGCCTGCATTGGGCTCTCTGCTCAGCAGGGAGCCTGCTTTCCCCTCTCTCTGCCTGCTTGTGATCTCTCTCTCTGTCAAATAAATACAATCTTTAAAAAAAATAAAAAGAACTTAACATATACTTAAGATCTATGCATTTACTGTATGTAAATTATACTTTAGCAAATTATTTTTTTGAAAGAAGATTCAGAGAAATCTTTTCTTCCTTGACCCAGAGTTGCTGGGTGGCTCTCAGAATCCCAGTGATGGCCACCAGACGGGTGCCACTTTGAGGGGCTGCCGGTGTCCTCCTGTCAAAAGCCTGGCTGGGCTATGGGTTTCTCCCAGGTTCCAACATCCGAGGTTCGGTGAGTCTAAGGATGAACGGAGAGTCCTAAGCAAACAGTGACCTCAGAGGGTTAATCCAGGCCAGATTTCTAGTCCAAACCCTGGGGCAAAGGCTGAGCCTTTTTAAATTCCATTCATCTATCCCTGCGTGTTTGCACGGCAAAGAACCTGTTGTTCTCACAGTACTGATCTCAGAGCCTGAGGGGGGCAGGGAAGCTGGGAGATGGCAAATATTGACGCTGGCTGCCTGGGTTCCCCAAGCAGGCTTCGGCATTCAGTCCCCACCGCCCCTCTGCTGATGTGAACCTGGGGAAGGGCCTGGCTGGCTGCCCTGGGCTCCGTGTCTTTCTGGACCTGGCTTATGGAACATTGTTCAGGAGGTTGCTGTGGTACCTGTTTCTTTCTGAAAAGAAGAACCAATAAACAAGAAAAGAGCAAACGCCATTCTGTCAGCGCCAGCCACCTCCCATTTACAGGCTGCTACCCCCTGGCCTGGGCTCTAGCTTTCTCTTCCAGGGACTGCTGGCTGAGAAAGAGCGAGACGTCAAGGAAGGGGTGTGGCAGCCTCTGGATTTGGACCTGTCCGGGTTTGATCCTGGCTCTATGATCTCAAGCAAGCAACTTTGTCTCTGTGTGCCTCTGTCAAGTGTGACTAACCAGACCGGTGCTTGTGTGTATTAGGGAAAATGAGATACAGGAGACAAGGCGCACACACACACACACACACACACACACACACACACGAGACAAGGCACATATACGTTGGCAATATTGCTGACTAATTACCTCCTTTTAATACTCATTAAAGCCCCTGGCGCAGTGCTCAGCACTCCTCTTTCTTCTGCTTAAAGCTTTAAGGTTTCCAAGTAGCGTTCACATTCTGGATCTTTCTTCTCAATAAGGACGCAAGATAGTTTGCCGATGACATCATTCTTCCTGAGGCTGGGAAGAGAGCCTTTATTGCAGCCCCTCCTCAGAAGGAAAGACTCAAACGTGTTCCTCCTGCTGAAGACTTCTGCCAGTGTCACGTAGCGTTCAGAGTCAAGTTCGCTCCCTGCAACCCAACCTCAGAGGTTCTTCCTCACCCAGGGGTACTGGTTCATGTTCCCTCGGCACCGGATGCCCTCTCTGCACTCTTCAGCCTGGGCTGCCCCAGGTTGGCTTCCCACTGGGCTCCATCATGGCCCTGCGCGGGCAGCACCACTGCAAGAAGCTTCCCAGACCTCCCGAAACAGAGCTTTGGACAGCGGACTGCTGCCGCTGAGCCCCCAGATGCTTGGCTCCACCCCCAGCCAGTGGAGGTGCTGGCCTCTGGGTGCGTGTGCAAATAGTAGCTCCCTCAGGGCACTGTTGGGAGAATGGGAGGTGAAGCTCTTAATGAGCTCAGTACCTGGTTCCCAGTAAACACTCCGCAGGGACCAACTGTGTGCACATGGGAACCTGGCTTTAGGTCCTGCTCTGCTCCGGACACACCGAGTGGACTGGGACCAGTGTGTCCCAGCCTTGCATCTTGTCCTGTGAAACGAAGCTTCTTAACCCCTAAAGGCTGGTGGGTGTGTTTGGTTAGGAGGGGCGGGTAAAGTGATGGGGCAGCCCGTGGTGCCAGTGCCTTGGCACTTTGCTGAAAAGGGCCACTGAAGCAGCCCAGGACAGGAGGGCCAGCGGGGCCAGCCGCCCATCCCCTGCAGGGCCCATCTGAGGCACTGGCAGGATGCGTTCTCCCGGTGGGAACTGGGCACGCTCCCGCTGCGCGAACCACTGAGGCTGACCAGCATGAGCACACAGGGGCGTATTCCCATAGCCCCCTCCCAGCAGCCTTATTTCCAACAGCTAGAGCACGGCATGGGGAACGCATTCTGAGTGCTGGAATGAGCCTCTGGACCTTTTCTTGTTCCCCAGGGACCAGATAAGCCCTCTCTTCCCCTGGAGACTGGCATTCTGTTGGAGAAGGCACACCCATGGCAGGAGGACTGGTGCTCCTTCTCAGGTCTGGACTCCTCCCCCTCCCCCTGTTCCCTCCCCTCCCCTGCTCCCTGAGGTCCCTGTGTTCCACCAGTAAGTAACCCTTGACCACCCCCTGTGCCCACTTGGTCCGGGTGCCGGCATCTCTTTCTTGGACCAGTGTAATTAAAGGTCATTGTAGGTCCAGGGTGTTTCCTGGCTTATCGCCCCTGATGACACCCACTGCCCTTAGGAGGGAGTGTGATGGGCTGTGCCCTGAAGGATCACATCCCGGTTCACCTCCTCACCTCATCTCCTACTGTCTCCTACCCCCAGATGGTGCTTTGACCACTCGGACCTGCTATGCATTCCTGGGTTCAGCTACACCCCCAGATCCAGATCTGCAGTTACATTGGCCCCTCAGTGGGGAATGCCCTTCCCCTCCCCGTCTCCCCTGGAAATTCTCCTCCTCTCCAGAGCCAGCCCAAGGCACCAGAACTGACAGTGTCCCCAGCGAGCCCTGAGTGTCTCACTTGGGCTGTGGTTGCAGGGAAGCTCAGACAAGGGGGACTGTTCCTCAGCCAGGATCCCTGACGCACCTTGTCCCAGGAGTGGGTCCTCAGGTCATCAGGCTCAGGGACAGGATTGTGTCCTCATTCCCCAAAGGCACCTCCTTGGTGGCCTCAGCCCAGCCTTTACTGCTGCCCCAACCATGGGGCATGAGGGGTTCCCTTATGCATGAGGGGTTCCCGCCATGAGACCTTGGGCTCCTCGTGTGCTGGGATCAGGTCTTTCTGCTCCTGGGTGCCTGGAATGGCCTTGGCCCACAGCAGGTGCCTGGAGACTGTTCTGTGAGAAAATGGACTGGAGCTTAACAGTCTCTCAGATGCTCATGTTTAATTCAAAACTCAACAAAGACTGTTTTATAAAACCAATTTTATTAATTTCCAATGAGGATATATCTGTCTTCCTCATCAGGAACTCTCCTGTTGGCCAGATTCCAAATTGCAAGTCTGTCTTTTGGAATAGGGGTGGACCACATTCTCACCTTCAAATTGTTTATTTTTTTAAGATTTTTAAAATTTTTATCTTTTTATTTTACCTATTTATTTATTTAAGATTCATTTATTTGGCAGGGGTAGGGACAGAGGGAGAGAGAGAATCCCAAGCAGAACCCACACTCAGCACAGAGTCCAACGCAGAGCTCAATCTCACAACCCTGAGATTGAAACCAGAGTTGAAACCAGGAGTCAGATGCTCAACCCACTCAGCTGCCCACCAAGGTACCTTTTTAAAGTACCCCAAGGAGATTCTGTCCCTGGCCAAGATATAATCCCATTGGGAGTGGAAAGGCTTCAAAGCTGGGACGCCAGAGACCGTGCTTGGGTTCCAGTTCTGGCACTGACTTTGCTGGATGACTTGGGCAAGTCATTTCTTCCTCTAGGCTTCAGTTTCCTCATCTGTTTAATGGGGATACCCATCCTTGTCTGTCTGACTGTTGTGAAACTGGAAAGTATCAGAGAAACTGCTCATTCACTCAGCTTCCGGGACCAAAATGCAATCCCTTCCTCAGGAGAGTTGGGCTGTTGGGTTGGGCAACAGGTCACAGGTGGCAGGGTGCAGAATGGGATAGACAGAAGGGCAGTGAGGAGCACCTCAAGCTGCTCTTTCTCCTGACCTTCTATTCTCCAGCTCAGAGCCCCTTGGGATGGCTTCCAAGGGTAGGATAGCCAATACCCCACCTCAAGTGCCATCTCCCGTGATCAGCCAGCGGGGCCTGCTAGGATCACTGAGTGGAGAAAAATGCTAAGGCTGCACGTGAGCCCAGCAATATCTGTCTTGGGTCCCCAAGGGAGCAGAAAGTGGCAACCACTTCACATATATGTGGCATCTATGAGATCTGAACTCTTTGGCTTTTTTCTAAGGGGTGATAGGATCAGGAGCTGCAAGCCTCTTAGGGCAGAGAACAGATTTGTTCTGTGTGGCCCCAGAGACATGCCTAAAATCAGGAAAGTGGATCCCCTTCATCTTGGTCAGGAGTGGTCTGACCTGGTAGTGTGCCCCTGTCCCTGGAGGCATTCAAGGAGAGGCTAAACAATTTGAAAGCAAGGAGAGGCAACTCTAATTCAGAGACAATGGTGCGCGGATCCCCTAGATGACCTTGAAGCCTCCTTCCCGTTCTTATGTTCTTGCATTCGATGCTCCTGTGAAGGCCTATCAGTGCCTTTCCAACCAGCCTACCCTCCGGCCTGGGGGCACCCTCAGGGTCCAGGACAGGAGTACTCATCAGACCAGTCGGAGCAGTGCTGCATGTGGTCGCGGCAGAGGCTCCTGGGGATGCAGCCGCAGTACCCGAAGACAGTCGAGGGGCAGCGCCACCAGCCCGGGCCACAGGGTGGGCATGTCGTCACTGTGGGCACAGCAGAAGAGCAGCTCCTTTGGCCCGGGGCACCCCGGCTCCCCAGAGCCCACTCTCTAAGGCTGCTTGAATACAGCCTTTTCTGAAAAACCTCCCTTGATTCTTACCTGCACTCCTCCCCGCAAAGTACCCCTCCCTAGTTCCCCAGCACGTCCTTTTGGCCTCAGCACGATGTTAGTCCTGAAGGTAGGACACGGGTTGACTCCTGACTATCGCCCACCGGAAGCTGGCACCAGGCACAGCCAGCCCTTCCCAGGGCTTGGCACACGTTTGTTGCTTGAACAATGGTGAAGAAATCGGAAAGAAAGTCTGGGGCAGTGAAAGAGCTCCAGACTTGGAGCCAAGAGACCTGGGTTTACATCCCTGCTCCTTTCCTATCCCTTCTTCTGTGAAGTCCCTTCTCTGCTCTGGCCTCAGTTTTCCTACATAGAAGTTTGGGACCAGTGATTCCTGCCCTGCTTTCCTCACAGGGTGATTGAGAGGTGCAGAGGAGAGGAGGGAAACTCATGCTGAAATCCCAGTTCAGCCTTGTATGTGCTCCTTGCAGGACCCTCTGGGCCTCGGTTTCCTCAACTGTGCCCTTGGTAGGTGCCCCACCATGGAAGAATAGGCCTCCAGAAGGAGCCACTTGGAGTGGTAGTGAGCACTCCACCACTGGAGGCATTCAAGCAGTGGTGGAAAACTTCTTTACAGTATGCAAGAAGGGGAGGCAGGGGAACCTTTGAGATTCTCTGGTCAAACTCTGCCCTTTGGCCACTGCCTAGCTCCCTGCCCCAGCCGAGCCTGTGCCCAGACCCCTACCTGGGCTCAGTTCATCTGAGCAGTCCCCACAGTTGTTGGTCCCATCACACTTTTGGTCTGAGTAGATCCAGAAAGATGGGTCTCCACAGCGGGCCACAAGGAAGCTGGGGAGGCTCTGGGGCATATCCCCTGCATGGGGACAGATGAAGCAGGGAGAGGTTCACATCTGGCCTTCAGACGTCTCTCTGGAGGTGGACTGTCCTGCCCGCCCCCCCAAACCCTGGATCACAAGGAGAAGGGCTCAGGAGAAGGTTTTCTGGGGAGGAGGTCAAATCAAGGGGAGAGGAGGATTCTTTCCATGTCAGCACAAGATGGCCAGAGAATGGCATCTCTCTCTTGTTCATTCCTGGCTTAGTTCCGGGGCACGCCCACTTCACACCACTGCTTGCACTATTCCTTCCTCCAGAAGTGTCTTTTCTGACACCTCTACAAAACCACTCCACTGTCAAGGGCAGGCTCAAGTTCCTTCACCTCCAGGAAACCTCCTCCCAACAGCAACGAAACAAGAACAAATGTGAAGTCTTGCACTCGGGGACCAGAACGCAGAGGACGTGGCTTCACAGACTTTGTGAGAGAGGGAGTCAGAGCACTCTCCTTGAAGGTGGGTTCTCTGTTAGGCGGTGGTGTGAAGGGGCTACCAAAAACGAACATGAACTCAGGCTACATGGCAAGAGGCCTTTGGGAGGGGAAAAACCTTTGTCCTTTGGACTAGCCAGGGCTGGCCAGAAGTATGATGGATGCTTCTGGAGCCAGACCGAGGAGCGGGACGAGGGCAGCTGGTGTGTGTCCTGTGGTGTGCCGGTGGAGCGGAGAAAACCAGCCTTGAGGGGGGATGACTGTAGGAGTGTGGAGTGTGGCTCTGGGAGGAGGAACCTCATGGCGGGCAAGAAAGCAATCTTCAAATCCATGCAGTGCCCCCATCATGGGAGGTGGATTCAAATGTGGTTCAGATGAGGGAAGAGAGTTGGGACCAATCAAGGATGCTACAGGGGATAGCTCTAAATTCAGTCCAAGGGAGACATTCCCATGGAAACCGTGTGATGAGGGAGGGGAGCAGCTGCCTCGGGCTATAGTGAGCCCCCCATCGCTGGAGTATGCAAGCAGAGGCTAGGTGGCCTCTGTTGGGTGTGTGAGAGGATTTGGGCATGAGCTCTGACATGGACTAGATGAACTTTAACATCTCTTCTAGTCTAAAAGGTCCTTGATGCAGTGACTTCCCCCATCCACTTCCCACCACATGCGCTCCAACCCCCCAGACTCTCTCCTTCCTACATGGAAACTGCCTAGTCCATGTAGCCATGGCTTTTCTCTCCTGGGTCCTGTCAGGTCTCTAAGGTCTGGGACCCATTCATTCACTCATTCATTCATTCATTCATTCACTGTCACTCATTCATTCATTCACTTGTCACTCATTTATTCATCGTCTGTTCAGGAAATAAACGCAGAGACTCTGCTACCAGGCACAGGGGCCCCCAGGCCAAGGAGAACTGGCATGGGGGGCAACCCTGAACCTGGAGGGGTCCACCTGGGGCAGGGCAAGACTGTGCAGGTACTCACGGCACATGGCCTCGTCCTCATCCTCGCCGTGGGCACAGGTGCGGACGCCATCACAGACACTGCTGGAGGGGATGCAGCTCCTCCGGTCATGGCACAAGAAGCCCGTCCTGTTCGTCAGCGTTACACAGGTCTGGGCCTCTGAGTTGGCAGGGGGAGACCCCAGAGGGGCAAGAGTGGTGAGCACAAGGGCATTACAAGTTCCCCCGACTCAGCTCCACACTGAGCTGTCCCGAGGGGCTGGGGTGGCCAGGAGGATGCTGGGCTGGGCGGTGACAGAGGTGAGGTCAAAGCTCCCACTCTGTCATTTGCCAGCTGTGAGACCTTGGGCAGATGACTTGACCTCTCTGAGCCTCACATTCCTTGTTTTTACGGTGGGGATGAGAGCACAGACCCCGTAGGATTGCTGGGGAGATTACATACAAGCTTTTGTGTGACCAACCCTAGAACACAGAATGTACAGGCTAACTCACGGTTCTCTCCTTTACTGAGAGCTGATTGCCAGCCTCACAGAAGCTCCTGAGGATGAGGCTCTAGTCAGTGAAGTGGTTTTAATGGTGGAGCTCCGGGTGCTGGGTCAGGCTGTCAGAAGCAATCTCTTGGGCTGGCTGGGGACTATTATGCCACAATCCCTGACACCTGGGCACAACTCCGGGCTGTAGAGCACTTTGATAGTTGTAGTCTCTTGTTTCCTCAAATAGTTCTGGGAGGTGTCATCCTTAGCCTCGTTTTATAGATGAGAAAACCAAGGCTCAAGAAGGTGCAAGGCCCAGTCACTCGGCTGACAGCTCAGGCCCGCTGTCCCCGCTCCTCCCTGAGGCTGGGGCCAGCCCCCCAGTGTCCAGGAATGCTGGGCAGCTGAGAGTCTTCCCTTCCTTCCCATGGGGAGGTGCAGAGGGAACCCACCCAGGGCTGCTCTGAAGAATTAAAGGAAAGAAAGTGATGGCGGGAGGTCAACCCGGCCCCACGGCTGTGCGTGGGCGTGTATACACGTGTGTGCCACCTGGAGACGGGCTTGGTCTGCGCATGTGTGTTTGAGCACCCAACACCCGCCTCTCACCTCCTGGGGCAGCCTCAGCCAGCGGGAGAGGGACTGAGTCTCAGAGACATTCCCACTGGGGCACATGCATACACACACTGACACGTGTGCACACACACAGACGTTCACACACGTGCACACAGACACACACTCTCAGACAGGTACGTGCATACACACGCACACAGATAGACGTGCACATACACTGACACACAGACACATGTGCATGTACACGGGGCGCGTGAGGGCAACTCCTCTCGTGTGCACTTCTACTTGGTGCCCATGTTCTTGCCCGGGGGGGTAGAGTACTGTGGATTTTACCCCTTGTCCCCACTTGTCCCTTTGTACCCCCCCAACCTGGCTACAAAGCCATCTCTCAGAAATGACAGCCCACCCCCAGCTGGAGCCTCTGCCCATGGCACTCTGGACGGTGACCCCTCCCCAGCACAGGGCACCTGCCCTGTCCACTGCTCTGGCCCTTGGAGCTCCCCGGCCTCCTGTGTCTTCTTCTCCTCACGTTTCTTCCCACCCTCAGGATTCTGCATCTGGCATTCCCTACTCCCGGGAGGCTTTTCTGCCTCCCTCTCCGCTAACCATTGCCCTCCTTTTCTTCATGGCCCTTCAGCTCCCTTTCCCTTTCCAAGCTGCCCACCTGACTCCTAGCCTGGGTCAGAGGCCCTGGATCCAGACTCGCAGAGCCCCCAGTAACCCCGCCTTAATGGGCTTCTTTGATTAATGTCCATTAATCTCCAAACTATCAGCTCCATGAAGCAGGGCTGTAGGGATGGACAAGATATGTCCCTGTCCTCTGGTGGAGGCAGACACACAGATGCATGGCACCCCACAGGAGGTGTGGGAGCCATGGGCGCCGAGGCACAAGGCCCAGCCTGGGGGTCAGGTCAGGGTGTTTGAGGAAGGAGACATCAGAGCCGAGTCGGCTCAGTAACTCATCATACAGATGGGCAAATAGCAGCTCAGAGTCCCGTATGCATCTCATGGCGGAAACTCACAGCATTAGTGTTCCTCATGTGCTCCCCATCCCCTCTGAGCAAGCCCAGCCCACCCACTCTGGACCACGCTGACCTGGTGTATGTGGTGGGAATCCCAGGATGGAGACCAGGGCGATCAGGGCAGCGAGAGTGACCAGCAGGAGCAGCAAGAAGGCTGAGAGGCAGGCACCCTGGCGTGAGCAGCATAGGGGGCCGCAGCCTGCGTGTGGGGTGGGAAACCAGTGGCGGATCCCCCTTGCCCAGCCCTACAGGTGCACCTCCCGCCTGCGGGGTTGGGAGCAGGAAGGACTCCCTGGAGAAGGGGGCTCCTGAGACTTCCATGATGCTCCTGGTTCTGCCTGTGGGCCCACCTCCACCAAGCACCCGTCCCTCGCCCAGGCCACTGGCTGGTGAGCAGCAGTTGGGGTGGGCATCCAGGTCTCTGCATCATGGCCCTCGCCCCGCTGTCCTCCCTCGAGGACTTCTCCTCAGGAGGCCAGGAGAAACAGACACCTGTTTAGTGAGCCGCTGCCTGCGGAAAAAGTAAAGCAGGCCCTTCGTAGCTATTACTTCTATTTTTCAAAAACCTTTACTTTATACATGAGGAAACTGAGGCTCAGAGAAGAAAAGGTCCAGATCACCTCATGCAGAGCTGGGACTTGAGTCAATGCCAAGTGACCATCCATTCTGGAGCCAGCCAGGATGCTGGCTGGACTCCCAGCTGGACCCCACGGAGAAGTCACTTGACTTCTCTACGCCTGTTTCCTCATGCGGATGGCGGGTGGGTCACGATATCTCCCTTAGGCTTGTTGAGAGGACTAAGCTAAGCTAGTAACTGGTTAGAACAGTGCTCGGCACACAGTCAGTGCTCTAAAGGTTTTAGCTACTCTTAGTGTTTATTGAGTGTTTACTATGTGCCTGGCTGTTTCATAAGCACGGTGGAAATAACAATGAGAGGAGACATCCGCTCCTTTAACTTACCTTGTACCTTTAATTTTTGCCTGCTTGCGAAAATCATGAAAGAAAGCTTTATTGAGGACCTACGAGCATCCTGCTGTGCAGAGGACAGAGGACCGTCACAGTGCGGTCCTTACCTAACCCTGGGAGCTTGCTGTGGCACTTGGGAGGACAGGCATGGGTGGGGAAAGGGAGAGTGTGGGCGTCACTGCTGTCTGCAGGTATCTCAGAGAAAGGGGGGGGCAGGTCTCGACATCTGTATGTCCCCAGGGTCCAGTCGCGAGACTGGGCACCCAGTGAGTGTTTTGTGACCACTCTGACCCAGACATCCAGGAGACACAGGAAGGCGCCCATTTCAGGTGAGTTCGAGGCCCTTCCCTCTGATCCACTCCCCTGTCCAGAGCTTCCTACACTGCTTGCCTGTGCTAGGCAGACCTGTACCTGGACCCCCGCAGCTCTGGTCCTGGGTGCTGAAGTGTCAACAAAGTGTGAGCCAGGGGCCGCGGGTGCTGGAAGGAGGGGTGAGATAAGCAAGGGTGGGATTTGCACAGGCAGGGTTGGGGGGGCGGGCGTGGGGGTGGGCAGGGGAAGGCATTCCGGGGACAGCGTGTAGGAGGGAAGGCCTGGCGCTGGGTGAATGGGGAACTGAGCTGAAACCCGCCACCCCTGCAGGGCTGTTCTGTGGCTCCCTAGTCGTCATCAGCGAAGACAGGGCCAACTCAGGTAACCAGGGAGAGAGCGTGGAGCCCGAGGATCCAAGCAGCTGCTTCTCAAATATTTGTGCAGCACGCTGCCATGGGCGGAGGGATCCTGGGAGGGACCTGAGATAGGACTGGCAGCACCGGGGCCGGGCCCCACAAAGGCACCACTCTGCAGGGCTCAGAGCCCTTCCACACCAGCCCTCCCTGGACACATGGGAGAAGGAGGCCATTTGCTCCACAACCACGCCCAGTAGGAGCCCCGCTGGAAGAATGAAGGCACGGCGATTTGCCACCAGAGGAATCCCAACTTGAATTTGAACTCCATCCGCCTCTCCCACCTCCCAGCTGTGTGCGATCCCAGTTTGGCCAAGCTCCCCAAATTCCCTTAGCCTCAGCTGCCTCATCTGTTATTGTCCCCAAACAGGCCTCAATCTCAGAGGTGTCCTGGGTACTAAAAGAGGCCATACACTGCCAAGCACAGACTAGGGCGGGGTGGGGGGTTGTGGGGTTTTCTGATCCTTTAGAGCTGTTATTATTACTACCTACCTCTGGTTTCTGTTTCCTCATTGATAAATGTGGGCCAAGATGGGGCATATAGTAGGTGCTCAATAAATATGTGTTTCTTCCTTTACTGCATAAAGGCAAAGCAACCTGTCCTTGGTGCACGGTGAGTTAGTGGCACACGGTAGGAGCTAACTTAGTGTGTGATCCTGTCTACTTTATCCCTCAGAGGTACAGAGAACAGTCCACGTCACCCACTGAGTCAGGGAATTGGCTGCAGATTTCTTTCAGTCATCATGGAAACAGTATGTGGGGCAGGGTGTGTGATAGGCAGCACACACAGGCGCTCAAGGCATAGAGAGAAAGAACAGCCCTCTTAAGCAGGTGACTGTCAGCCCTGTGGCCAGGAAGCTGGGAGTGGAAGACAGGACGTCAGCATGGGGGCAGAGGTCTGAGGGACAGTGGGGGACTTGGGGAGCCCTGTTCATGCCTCTGAAGAAGCAGCCCAGCCTCAAGGGAGCCCACTGCGGAGCTCTGTTCTTTACCTTCCCCTCCGGGGAGGGCTTTGGTTCCAGCAGCATTGTCATCGCTGTCTCCCTGCCCAAGAGAACAGAGTGAGGGCTGGGCTTAGGTGGGCCGAGGGCCAGCCTCTGGGAGCCAGCCAGAAGGGGTTTTCAGAAGGTTCAGGGAGAGCCTTGTGTGGAATCGTGGGCCCCACACATGCCAGCGTTCTGAGCACCTCAAGCCCATCACACCCGCTTCATGATTCCACACTGCCCTCTGCCCACAGTGCCCTTCTCTCCACTGTCCACTTGGCCAACACTCATCCTTCAGACCTGCTCAGACTCATCCCTGGAGGGGCTTTCCTTAAGGCCCCTTCCCATAATGCTGACCGCTCCCTCCCCTGGCCTCCTGTCCACCCGGCTCCTCTGTCCCCCTTCCAACGCTTGCCACCAGAACTGTGCGGCTGGTTCACCTGTGGGGTCCCCTACAACCTGGGAGGGACCCTCCAGAGCAAGGGAGACCCGGGCCACCTCAGCTGCTCCCCTCTTCACTTAAGCCCACTCTTTATCCCAGGGTTGGCCTCCCTAGGTCGGGGAGCATTTTAAAGCCGTTCTTACCTGGGGGAAGATTTTGTTCATGTCTCGGGCCTCCTGCTCCCAGCTCCAGGATCCTGGCCCTGGGGCCCCGTGCAGAGAACTCAGCACAGGTTCTGGCCCGGTTGCCAGGGGCAGCCTGGCGGAGGGAGGACTGAGGCCTGGCCTGGCCACACCCTCCCTGTGGGCAGTCTCCTCCCAGGTTCCTGCTTGGCCCTTCCTCTCCGCCCTCTGACCTCCAACAGCACACTCCAAGGCTGGAATCCTCATGCCCACATTATAGACAAAGAACCTGCGGTCAGACAGGATGAAACTGCCCCTAGGTCACACAGTAGGGAGGGGGAGGCAGGGTTCAGACCTGCTTTTTCCTCCACATCTGTGGTGAGACCAGGGGCTCTCAGGGCCCTCAGCTGCATGAGCGTCCAGGCAGAAATATCCAGAATTAACATTTTAGTTAAAACAGGAATCATTTTCTTATTGTTCTAGTCAATTTAATAGGTAATCTATGTGGCCGGAATATGCATTTTCCACTAAAATTATAAAACAAGCATAACTTTAAATTATTTTCTTTTAAAAAGTGGCCATGTACCTTTTTGTCTTTTGGGGGACAGTGCCCATGATGGGGGAAGGGCAGGCAGGTCACTCACCTGAATAACCCTGGCTTCCTGCCCTGCAGGAGGCAGCCTCATCCCAGGGCTGAGGGGACCAAGGCTCTGGGAGCTCCAGGGACTGGTTGGAAGACCAAGGGAGGCAAGGCGTCGACCTTGGGACTGAGTGTGGGACCTCCTGGGAAGGGCACTGGGCAGCTTGCCCCGATGTCTAGGGCTTGTCTACCCTGGGACTGGCCTTCTGTTTTGCACTGGGATATGAACCGCTGGAACCGCTGAGGTGGGGGTGGGATGGATTGATGCTGGAGCAGCCCTCCAGAGGGATCTGCCCTGGGAAGGGCCAAACCGTCAGCCAAGAGAGAGGGCCCTGCCACTGGTGCTGGTGTAGGCAAGTTGCTCCTCTTTTCTGAGCCTCAATTCCGTCATGCATAGAATGAAAGGATTCAGCCAAATGAAGGGGGCACTTGGGGACCCCTATAATCAGACCATAAGACCAGACTGGGAATAGGTTTAATTGGGAGTGATCCTTGGAAATGCCAGCTGGGGAGAGAGGGGAGTGGGACAGGGAAGGGAAGGACCCCATAATAGGCATGTGACTAGGCACATTCCTATGAGGTGCAAATGGAACTTTCTCCTGCTGAGGAGTTCGAGGAGACAAGGGAGAAGGCACACCTCCAAGTTACCCCGCCTGAAGGTGAGGGCACGGAGGGGGGCTCTGCTTACCAGCTCTTGCTAGTCGTTGGCTGAGAATTGCCGGAGGTACAGCCCGCTGGCTCTGCTGACCTGTCGTGGGTGAAGAGCTGCCGCTGTTGGCAGTGGCAAGCCAGGTTTCGTGCTCTGAAGAGGAATGGGTGGGGGTGGGGGGTGTATGGCAGGACACCCCCACTGCGGCTGCCAAAGATGCTAACTAGATTTCATTTGTCCGCCAACGGCAATCGATGGCGAGATGTCTGGATGTGGGGTTCATGAGGGTTCTGAGGTCAGGATTCAGGGTTTTGTGATTAACTAGAGGTGTCTACCGTGGGTTCCCTTGGGCAACCCTGCTGAGCTCCCTTGGCTTTGGCTGGGGCCTGCTCGAGCCATGCCTCGGTACACTTCTAGCAGGAGTGGGAACTTGGGTGCTGATAGTCCAAAGCGACCCCCACCGCTAGCTGTGTGACCTCTGAGCTAACCTCTCTGAGCTTCGGCTTTCCCACTTACCTCTCTAAACTCCTTTTCCATTCATTCCTGAAGAAAGCGGTGCCCCAATAAAAGGACCTCTCTGTGCTTTAACCTCTCCCTTCTTCCCCTCTTTCCTCCCCTGGGAAAAAAAAGGCCCCAAAACTTATTACAGAAAAGTAGGGAAAAAGTCACATAACAAGCAATAATGAATCTACCCTCCAGAGTTAAGATTTAGTTATTTAGATTTAGTTAAGATTTAGTAATTTTTGCTTTAGACTCTTTTTTCTATTAAGTTTAGTAAAATCAAAGGCCTCTTTTCTCCCCAGTTGTATTCCTTTCGTTCTCTCCCCAGAGTCAACCAGTTTCCTAAATATGCCGTGTATGCTTCAGGAGCTGCTGCTGTCTCTAGACACACAGACGCGCAGACGCACAGACACATGGTAGGGGCACCTAGATTGTAGCACAATTGGCCACGCCGCTCTTCCAGGGGGCCATACGACTCTGCACTCCCATTAGCAGCGTGTGAGAGTTTCCAACTTCCATCTCCCCAGCCTCAAAAACGGTCATTCTCAGACACCTGGTGGGTACAGAATGGTGTCTTCGGGTGCCGGTGGTTTCATTTGTACACCTCTAGTAATTACTATTGCTACGACTAATCACTATTACTGAACACTCACTTTTACCACACACTGTACCAAATGCTGTGTGTATGTGAACTCATTTAGTCCTCCCAGCCACAGGGTATGGGGGCCATGATCTCCATTTTACAGATGAAAACACTGAGGCACAGAGACATTTAGTTGCCCAAGGTTCACAGCTGAAAAGAGGCAGAGCCGGGATACAGGTCTGGCTCCTGTACCCACACCTTTACTTCTGTAAAGCGTTCCTCAGACCCGCAGCATCTGCATCATCTGAGAGCTGGTTAGAAGTAGGGTCTCACTGCAGCCCAGTCGAAGAAGCTGCATCTTAACAAGGTCCTCAGGAGATTCAAATGGAGAGCCTTGCCTGACTCCATGTATTGTGCTGCCCATTTTTGTATATTGGTCATAAGGATTTCCTCCCTGGCATGTTGCTTTTTCGTATCTGTTGTTCATTTTTCTACAGGTGGTTTGTCTTTCTCTTGATTTGTGGATTTATGTTGGACTGTAGCCTGTCACTTGCTTAGAGTAGCTTCTGAGGGCTCCCTCTGCCTTTCTAAATCCATCTTTTGTGCCCAGAACCAACTAAAATACTCACTTCATGAAGCCTTCTTTGACTCTTCCTCCTTCCCCGGATTTACCTATCCCTCTATGCCTTCCTGTCTGAGGCTTGTCTTGGCCCGGTGTTGGCTAGGAGAGACTGGACACGAAACCAGCCAACCTCAGCTTGGCAGACAGACCTGGGTCTTCATCCCAACTCTGCCCAACTAATTTAAGGTGTGAAGTCACAGCCTCTTGAAACTCATGTCCTCACCTGGAGAATGAGGACAAGAACACGTGCCTCAGAGCATGGTTGTTAGATCATTCTAACAGTGCACGTATGTGAAAATGTTCTGTTCCCTTTGGGGGCACAATATTGTTTCTGGAGGCCTCGGTTTGTGGACAATTACGGAGAGCTGCAAGGAACTGCTTTTTAGTCCAGGGCCCATCTCTGGGTTAGAGAATCCTAATGGGCACCACCATTAGATGGACCCAGGGACTTCCTCCCAGACCTGCCTAGCGGGGAGGCCTGTCCCTGGCTCAGCATTTATCACTCCTCCCCAAGGCCTCCTATAACTTGCGGAGCCCTGACTGGTGCCTCTCCTCTCTCAGACTGTCTATTCAACTCTGGAATGGAAATGGCAGGCCCCAGCCTGCTTTCCTAAGAGAATGTGGTCAGCACCCATCAAAGGGGATGGTGAGACTGCTCTAAAGGACTTGGAGGAGGGTGAGGACAAACACCATCATGACAGAGCTGAGCAGACCCTGTTACAAGACAGCATTACAATATTGTTTAATGCAGATGATCCAGATTTTATTGAAGTTTACAGACATATGTGTCATGAACCGACAGACGCAGGGCCCCAGCAACGACTGTGTGACAGTGTATCTTGAGGTAACATTATCAAGCTTTTGTTGTCTAACCAGTTGCTGAATTCTTTCTACCCAAGCCTTTAATTATTGCTGTCCCAAGGCTGTAGAACAATTCAAGTATGAAAAGCACACAAGAAACAGTAAAAAAAAAAAAAGGGAAAAAAGGCCCAAATAATTTAGAATTGAACAGGCAAACAAACATATTTTGCTCCTAAAATGACAAAGTAAAACTGTGTGCGAACTAACTGCAATTTAAATAAAAACTTAAAAAAAAATGACAAAAGTTAGACAACCTATAACCCAGTGGTTTTAGTGCACTTGGATGGGAAAAAAAAATAAATCTTTATTCTCACTAACTTCTAGCTGAAATGTAGCATTTCCTTCAACTATGACTAGAGCCACAATCGACAGTCTATGAGCAGCACCTGCGACTTTGTCACCAACAGAAACCACAGAGATTCAGGTATCACATTACAATGGTTGCAGGTATTTAGAAATAATAATCTGAAATTACTTTGGAATCACAGAGGCTCTAGAACTACCACTAGACCTTAATTTGAGTTAATAAAGAAGTACATATATACACAACCACAAAATTTTAAAAATATCTTAATAACTATAGTTTAACATCCTTTACAGTCCTTCATATTTAGTGTTTGGCATCTAAAAACACGATTCTGAAGAGTCCACAGGCTTCACCAGATCACTGGAACGGTCCATGGCGTGAAAAAGGTTATAAACACCTGCTCTCAACGAGTTAAGCCATCAACATCACAGGAAGAGAACACAATCGGGAAGTACATGGAGCTTTGGCAAGCATAAATTTGAGAAAAGGTATATAAACTGTGCTTCCCAATCTAATTATTGCAAGGCGTCGGAAAATCCACAGATTGTACAAGCTAGTTTCTCCCAGAAGGCCACATTTCCCACTATTTCACTCTTTTATCTCTATTACTGTACAGACTTCCACCCCCGGACTCAAGCTTAATAAAGTAGTCAAGGAAAGAAAGGTTAAAAAGGTAGCTCGGATGTTGATGATACACAAATGTAAACACGACAGTCTTAGCAACTGGCCACCTGGTGGGAGGGGCTCAGGATCACACTGGGTTCACAGAGTCTGGGTTAGCAAACCTACAATTTAAGCGTGGTGGTAAGTTGACCTAGCATTGTGCTTTTTTAAAAATTTAGCCCAGCGTTCGTCTGGTAAAAAGCTTGGGCTCCACAAAACAGCCTTCCCAGTCTGCTTGGCAACACTCAGATTGTGATGAGGACCCCGAGACCAGTCCTAGGATTTATCATCCAAAAATAGAGTGGGGGGATAGAGAGA